CGGCCTTCAACGATGCAGGGAAGGTAGACCTAAACCGACGAAATTCAATTTGGCCGCATCAGAAATCACAGCCATCGTCGATCTATCACCGGAACAATTCAATTTGATCGACGTATTAACCTAGTATCTCAGCTTGCGCCACGACCTTCCATCCCGAGACTCATGCGAAGTATTACTTCAAAAGAATATAGCTCAATTCCCTACTTTTCCAAACCTGCCTGCTTCATTTTTTTCGATTGGGTTTCCGAATCAACTAAATAACATGAATGTACTATACTATTTTGTCGTTATGGAATTAACAAAGTAATCAATTGAAGTTTATACCGATTTTGGTGTTGCTACATCTTTGTTTTGATTGGTCTTACAAAGAACAAATATGTAACTAAGATGATGACGAAGACGAACTATACTATTTAAGTTGATGACGTTACCATCTGTTTTCACTCTCCTCAAGCACACGTACAAAAAGAGAAACGAGTGAGAAGGACTAAGTGGACTTTTTACCCCTCCTTTGTGTTACTCACTTAATTTCCTTCTTTATAGTGCTATATTCTTAAATATATTATCAAAATGTGTTATTTCTGCAAAAGACCCAAAAATATAGATATGAAAAGTTTGCCCCAAAATAAAAAGAAAAAAATAATATAGAACAAAAAAAGAATGACGTTGACGTTCCGGAGGTACAGCTAAGCGCAGTGTTTCCTTCTTTGTGCCCAAACCCTCGGACGGAATCAGAGGGTCCTTTTACTATTGACTATTCTTTGACCAGAGGGCTAACACAACACTTTTTAGTGGCCGTGTGTCATCTCCAAAGGCTAACACAACACCTTTTAAGAGTTAGTGTGATAGTTTATAATATCTAAAGGTAATACTCTGATTACTGATATAGATCTTTACGGCTATCGGTCTCGTCTTTGCGTGGGCTTTAAAACTACAATTTATTTTAAATACGTTTTTTAAACCGGCGACCTTAAAGTTACGCATTGTTCTAATATGCCTAACAATGTATCACAAATTTAAGAAATGAAAAATTTATGTTGAGTAACAAAACACCAATTTCCGGATCCTCATTAATTGAGTAACTTCTCCTTGCGTACAATCTTGACCGCCATCTATATATTAAAGCACAATTGGACTAATTCGAGATCATTATGTTTGGCAGAAATCAAAATGGTGATAATATTTTATAGGCAGCATAGTGAATACGGGCAGAAAGAGACAGTACAATGCCGATGCATAGCATTTCTTTTTTGCTACGCATGTAAATATCATTAAAATGAAAAATCAGGCATTACAAAGTTGCATAACCTAAGAGATTGAAACCTTGGCAAAAAAGAATAAAAACAAGGGATTCAATAAAGATCTGGGAGAACTCAGGGTAGAATTCATCGCAGCCATAGTGGCATTAGCCTATGAAAGATACGCTTTTCTCTTCTTGATGTGATGATGTTCTTGATGTCGCGATCAATATACTTAAAGATTGTTTGCGGGGTGAGCGAATGCATATTGTACAAGACGTTGTTTCGTTGCCTCCAAATGTGGTAAACAGAAACTTGGGCAGCAGTTTTTCTGAGAATAGACGGAGCATCCTGAGACTGCAATCTGGTCCATGACAACAACTCTGACCAAGTACAGAAGACAGCATGTCGATGATCAATTCTGGACAGTACCATCAGCCAAATCTCAGCAGAATAATCACATTTAATAAACAGGTGATCCCTTGACTCATGGTGAGCAGAACAGAGGCAACAAGCAGTATTAATATTTAGTCCCCAAGAGGCTAGTCTAGCTCTAGTTGGCAGTCTATCAAGGTGCGTCACCCACATATTGAAGCCAAATTTGGGCACTACTCCTTTGTACCACACAGAGTTGACCCAATCTTTCTTGTCCTGCCTTGGTCTTAAAGCCTCCCAAGTCTTAGCAGAGGAATAAAACGTGGCAGTGGTGCCATCGGTTTCCCAGTAGTAGTAGTCTTCCGTGATGATAGTGCTAGGGAGAGGCGCTGTTGTGAGATGAACGTGTAGAGATAGAGCCTCGTCGGAGCGCGGGGCAGGTAGGGACCAACCCGCACCAGAGCACGCAGAAGCGACACAGCAGTTGAGAGGGATCCGCAGATCTCTTGGGCCATTAGATCCCAGCAGCTTAATAAGAGGTCCAAGAGGGGTCCAAAAGTCAAACCAGAAGCTAGTCTTGATGCCATTTCCTACTTTGCTTCGTAAGAACCTCTCAGCCAAAGGCCTTAGTCTTAATAAAGAATTCCAGATCCATGAGTTTCTGGTTGACTCTTTCAAGGACCAGAAGCTAGAGGAGTTCAAATGGTGATGCCTGTGCCAAGCTGCCCACAAAGAAGGTTTATCAGAGAAGAGGGACCAAACATACCTTAGGCACAAGGCTTTATTCCAAACCGCATATCTCCTAAGTCCCAACCCACCTTCATCTTTTGGCAGACAAACCGAAGCCCAGGAGACCTTTACACCATTGCTCATATCAATATTACCCTTCCACAAGAACCGACTACAAAGCGATTCAATTTTCTTGATACAACCTTGAGGAAGGATAAAGGTGGAGATCCAAAAGTTAACAACTCCTGAGATGACAGACCCTAGCAGCTGCAGCCTTCCTGCAAAAGAGAGAATTTTCACTGCCCAATTTCTGAACTTCTTGATGAGGTTGTCGATTAGAGGCTCATATTCAGAGATTCTCAGCTTTCGGTGCATTAAAGGCAGGCCAAGATATCGTATAGGCAGAGACCCGATTGGGAAGCCAAACCGAGCGATTGCAGTAGTTTCCAAGTGATTTTGGCCAGCACAGAAAAGTTGCGTCTTGCCTCTATTCATACATAAACCAGACCAACTCGCAAAATCGTCCAGAGCTTCATTGATTCCATGAAGGGAGGAGCTTCCACCATCGAAAAAGATCATTACATCGTCCGCAAACATAAGATGAGAGATTTGTAGATCAGAAGTTTGCGGGTGATAGTGAATGTATCCAGCATCAAATCTTGCTTTAAGAAGACTGGAGAAGACCTCCATAGCAAGAACAAATAAGTATGGAGAGAGCGGGTCTCCCTGCCGCAGGCCCGTTGTGCTCTTGAAGAATCCACCTGACTCACCATTTACACAAATCGAGAAGGAGGGAGTGGTGATACACTGGCAAACCCAGTTTACGAACTTCTCAGGAATGTTGAGAGCTCTTAGCGCCGAGAGAATGAAGTCCCACCTTACCGAGTCAAAAGCTTTCCGCAGATCAACCTTTAACATTGCTCTCGGGTCTATATTCTTTCGGTTGTACCCATGAACAATCTCAGTAGCAAGTAACACATTTTCACCAAGCAACCTTCCAGGCATAAAAGCAGATTGGGACGAAGAGATTACCTTACTGAGGATCTGCTGCAGTCTCTTTGCAAGCAACTTGGAAATAACCTTATACAGCGTGTTTAAACAGGATATTGGTCTGAAATCAGCTGCTTTAGAGGCATTGGATAGCTTGGGAATAAGAACCAGAGTTGTCGCATTCCATTGCTTAAGCATAGAACCTGAAGTGAAAAACTCAGAAACCGCCTCAATAACTTCTGGACCAATCACACTCCAGCATCCAGTAAAAAATTCTGCAGAGAAGCCGTCTGGACCTGAAGATTTGTTTCGAGGCAGAGAAAAGAAAGCCTCCCTGATTTCCTCGCTTGAGAAGGGCATTTCCAAATTTTCCTTTTGACCACGATTACAGCGGAAAGGAAGGAGAATGTCCATGTCCCCTTGAGTAAGCATACTAGGACCCACCTCACTACCGATAAGATTGTGGAAGAAGTCAACACAATGATCTCTAATACCTTGCTGGGAGTCAATCTTTGGACCACCATCCTCTTGGATAAAATGAATATGGTTAAGAGTTTTTCTAGAAGCCACCATTCTGTGGAAGTAAGAGGTATTACTGTCTCCATCCTTAAGCCACGAAATGCTTGATCTCTGACAGAAAAACGATTCTTCAGCTTTGGCAAGGATTTGCCATTTCCTCTGGGCTTCAATCTCAGCTTCAGCATTTGCCACGGTTGGCCTGTTTAACACTCTTTGCTGCATTCTTAACAAGTGATCGTGAGCCTCCACAACTCTCTTTTCAATGTCTGAAAAGTTTACCTTGCTAAACTCTCTAATAGTTTTCTTTAAGAGTTTCAGCTTTATAGAGCACCTATACATAGCAGACCCCACCACGTTACAGGAGAACCAATGCTGGCAGACCAAAGGGACGAACTGCTCATTAAGCAGAAGGAAATTGTAGAACTTGAATGGCCGCTTTACCCTATTTATTTCCAGATCAAACACAACACCACATGAAGCATGGTCGGAGAAGTCCGGCTCACCAAACAACGCATAGCTTGCAGGATACTTCAAGCTCCAAAGCTCATTTACCAAGACTCTATCCAGCTTTTTCGCGATTGGTCTAGTCTTAGATTTGTTCCACCAAGTGTAAGTGCTACCTTTATACGTCAAGTCAGAGAGATCCGCATTAAGTAAGCAGGTCCTGAAACTTCTTGTTCTTCTATCCACGCTTAGAGTTCTAGGACAAGAATGTTCAGAGGGGTGGAGCGTTTGGTTGAAATCCCCCATCATCAGCCATGGCTTACCCTGTAACTTGGCCGTGCTTGCAACATCCACAATCTCCTTCCACAAATCAAGCCTCAACCTATCATCATTTGAGGCATAGACCACTGAAATTACGCACCAATCCTGCGAATTTGGCAGCAAAACATCGCAGGTAATCATCTGAAGAGATTTGTCGATCACTACTACCTTCACACTTTGATGCCACACCACCCATATCTTTCCCAAATCAGAAAACCCATAATTATTCTCAAAAGACCAGCCGGGTAGTAAACCGTTGACGAACTTCTGCACCTTCGGCTGTTTAACATGCGTTTCAATCAAACCACCAAAAATGAGCTTGCAGCCCTTAGACCATTTCTTAAATCCGCTGCGGTGGCTAAGAATATTTAGGCCGCGGATATTCCAACAAAAAATTTGTGTACACATAGTTATGTGTTTTTGAGGCCCTTGCCTCTGTTAAGTTTCTGTTGTCGCTTAGACAACACTTCTTCAAAACCAGAATAGTCATCCTCTAGACTGGCAGTTTCCTCTTGACTATCAGTCTCTTCCGATTCTGTTGACAAAATATCAGACGAGTCTTCTTCAGCTACCGAAGATTTACCCTCTGATGGAGTCTGATCTGAACCATGCGTGTGTAACGCCTTACCTGAGCCAGATCCTATCTCAAGAACAGCTTGATCAACCTCTTTTGCTATTACCTGCAAGCGAGAAGCAGGCTGCACAGACTTAGGTACATAGACCATTTGCTGTTGTACCTCTTTGCCTGGCCTCTTCACAACAGCTTGATCCTTAAAGATGGGCTTGGCCTGGTACCGCTTTCTCGGAGGAGCATTCCCTTTTCTAGGACAGCAGCTCTCAAGGTGAGCAGAAGAGTTACAAGGTTTGCACGTTACTGGTGCCAATTTGCAGCGTTTGCGGCTGTGTCCAACCTCCTTGCAATGCTCACACACTGGGGGCATCCATGGGCTGGAGACTAAAATTCTTCTAATCTCCCCTGAAGCAAACTGAACATTTACAGCCTCTGGAAGAGGCTTCCTCGGGTCAATGATAGTGAAGACCTTAGCCACCTCTAGGTTGGTCTTGTTCGCAGTTGTCGGATGCAAACATTTGGGATCTCCGACCAAACTAGCGATACTCTCGAGACCCTCGTCGTTGAAGAATTGGAGAGGAACATGTCTTAACTCAAGCCAGATAGGCGCCGATGTGAGCTGGGGCTTCATAGGGACCACACCGGGCTCCCAATTTGCAACGAACATTGTTTGACCCTCAATTTGCCAAAGCATTTGATTAATAACTCTTGCCCTCGTAGCAGCATTCGGAATTCTAAAAAGAAATGCATTACCTTCCATCTTGGAGACAGAGATATCTCTATAGCTCTTACTCCAAATCCCATTTACGATATTATGGATGGTTCCTTGGGCTGGAGGATCGGAGTAAAATTGACCAAGAACAAAGCATTCCCATGACTTCCTGTTTTTCTCAATCACAGAGTTGGGTATCTTCACACACGATTCTCCCGACGGGAGAGTGAAACCTGAGCTCTGTTTTTTGAGTTGCTTTGCAGTACCCTTGACGAGGCTCACCCACAAGTCTTGCTTTACAGGGTTTGGCGCATCAGGAATGTGCTTGGAGGCTTCTGGCTTCGCAGAGTCCTTGACAATCGGAGGCAGAGGAGTTGTAACCTCGGCAACAGCCGGCTCTTCTGACAATGTCGACGGCCCTGAAGGAGCTAAACCATTAGCAGTATCAGAGGCGCCATTTGCTGTTAGGTCTGATGTACCCGATGAGGTTTTCAGATCTGGGATTTGATTGGCCAAGTCCGTCACTGAGACAGTCAATTGGGCAATAGATTGCGTGGGAGCTGAAGAAACCGGCGACGCGGGGGCTTCAGAACACACAACGCCGGCGGAGACAATCGATGGAGGCGGAGAAAGCGGGTGACCCGAGACAGAAGCACCGGATCTCCTCGATGGAGAGGGTTTCTTAGATTTCGTTTTCTTCCTCATAAGGAGAGGAGGACCTAAAAGAAGAGGGGGACGAGGCGCCTCACGCCGTGAGAGGCGGCGGCGCAAGAGGGAAAACGACGACACCTTATCGCTGTTTGTGGAGAGAGAAAAAAGGGTTTTTACAAGATTTTTGTCATGCATAGCATTTCGATGGCTAGCTAGACTGGTTAATGCAATTATTGAAATTGTAAGCAAATAATGAAATACCGAGAAGCGAAGAAGATTTGATTATAGGATGGAAAAAAATGTAAAGAGGTTGGAAGATCCTTAAATCCAACAAGTGGGGTATTTACGTACCGCATGATGGGTATGCACCCTACCCTCCATATCATGCACTTGATTGACCCACCAACAAATATTTGTTTTTTTTTTTTATAAATAAGACCTACAAATATTTAAATAATTTATCATCACAAAGTTACCATTTATATATAGTTAAAGCCTTCAAGCATCTATTTTTGTTTGTAAATAGTTACTACCATAATGTATCACAAAAACTGTATATTCTAGTAAGTATATCGGTAACAGAAGTGTGTATATGTGTAATTAATTAACGGTTACTAAGTTTCAAGAGATAGGTGAAACATGTATGTGTAGAATTTGTTCTCCAGCGAGTATAATTGTGTCATTGAGTATAATCTTGACTAGCTAGACCCAATTTGGAGAGAGATGCACATCATATTAGACCAAGAGTAGCAACTAGCAATTGCATATGAAATTTCGTTGTTTTATAATGGAGTTCATTCTTTTATGATTCACATTAAATTTCAAGATGCAGAATGATTAGTTTTTTACATTTTATTTGGCTGCTTTTTTTTTTTTGATAAAATTTCTATTTTGGCTGCTTGTTGTTGTGAGAATATTTTTCAAAAAGCCAGATTAAAAAAAAATGGAGATGGGGCATCGTCGCACATGGGGGCATGGACACATTTCCAAAACTACAAAAAAACCTAAGTGTTTTGGTACGTCGAAACATATATTTCTGCAAAATAAAATTAAGTTGTTCGGAATACAAAAGCATCTTCGGTTAACATTTAACTGCTAGTGGTGAGAAAAGATTATACAATTTGGTAATTTGATTTATTATTTATCATAAATCAATAATCTTACTAAAAGAAAATTGGTTTCTATTATTTCTCTTTTTAATAGCCACCCATGTGGTGGTTACTATTTTAACTGAAGCCAAACTTTGAAACTTACTTAAAAGTTAAAAAGTTAAGAACTTAAATTTGGTTTTCTCTTGGCAATATTTATTAATGACTATTCACATTTAAATCTCTTGTTTTTGTCAACAAATTTAAATGGCTTTAATTCTGCCAACAAATTAAAATGTCTTGTCAGTTTTACTGTTTTAAATTTTTAATTTATAAATGTGTACGTATAGTCAATTAAAAGTGAATGAATACGTCAAAATACGAATCTTATAATCTGAGGTCTAAGTTTTTCTTTTCCATAATGCGTTCATTAACACAATTATTATAACCAAGACTTTAAATACGAACCATGACAATTAAAAAAAAAAATCAATCACTAATAATTCGTAAAAGACAGAGAAGACAATTTCGTAATTAACTCAAAAATCTGGTGGCATTGTTATATTCTCTTCACTATATAAACTTCGTCTCTCCCAAAACTCTCAAATCCCTCCTCCACCTGAAAACATTTTCTCTCACTTTTTCGAGAAAAAAAAAAATCAGAACTTTCAGAGTTATTTTGACTTCGAACGTGGAAAAAATGGCCGGAAGTCTTGTAAAATGCAGCAAGATCCGTCACATTGTGAGACTCAGACAAATGCTCCGGCGATGGCGTAACAAAGCTCGGTTATCTTCGGTCAGCCGTTGTGTACCGTCGGATGTTCCATCTGGACACGTGGCAGTTTGTGTGGGTAGCGGTTGCAGGAGATTTGTGGTGCGTGCGTCGTACCTGAACCATCCGATCATAAGCAATCTTCTGGTTCAAGCTGAGGAAGAGTTCGGTTTCGTTAACCAAGGACCGTTGGTTATTCCTTGTGAAGAATCGGTTTTCGAAGAAGCGATTCGGTTTATTTCTCGGTCTGATTCGTCTCGGTCAAGCCGGTTTACTTGTCCTGATGATCTTCAGAAATGTAACGGAGGAATCAAAATCAAAAGCAAGCTGGATCTGTTGATTGAATCTCGACCGTTGCTTCACGGCGTCGCCGAGAAAGCCATCTGGTGATCCGACGGTGAAGATTGTTGTCGGTTCTTAAGATTCTGACCCGGTTTGGTTTGACTCGGAACGAGTTTAATCAACATGGAAGGAAGTACAGAAGAAGGCGAGTTTTTGAATAAATCGTCATTGACTCGGCTGAGTTTTACCACCGAGTCGGGTGGGTACTAATTTTTAATCGGGTTCGGGTCTTTTATTTTTAATTTTTATAATTAATTATATCGGGGGAAATTCGACTGAGTCGAGTCAGACGATCGAAGGAGATGGCGGTTAAGGTGGGTGAGTCGTACCACCGAGTCATCCCGGGTTCGAATCCGGTTAATGTAAATAAGACAAGTGAACTCAAATAGGTTCATTGAAAAAAAAGAGAGAAAGTGATTTGATTCAGTGCTTTAGATTCGAGTATTGTCACTTTTCTATGTAGATGATTCGGTAATTTCATAATCGAAATTTATGCTAAAAGTACTTTTTAAAAATGTCTGTTTTCTTAAAGAAGTTGCTGTTCTGACTTTATTAGAATCAAAACATTGGTAACAAAGTACAAATATTTTTCATAACTTTATCAGAAAGAATTACAAATCTGTTGGCAAAACTCACAAGTTTTATCATTGGTAATTTCAGAGGATTACTTGGCCGAAAATGAAAATAAGAACTTTAACGTATCAAATGGTGAACATTATCGTCCATTATCAATTTTTTTAGTCACTTGATTAGCAGATAAAAAATGCAGAAAATAAAAGAATTCAATTATATATTTAATATGTTAATATACTTGATATATAGCTATAATTTTGAGTATTCAAATATAAGTACGATGGATAAATTTATAAGAAATAAAAAATATTCGATCCGACCAAGGCCATGTGAGGGAAAGACTATTAGCCCATTTTATCTGTTTCGCCTGTGTTCTAACTTTTTTCTTCTTTGTCTTCATTCACTTTCTCCATACAGTAAAAAAGTACAGTCCACGGTACACACAATCATTTACATTTATTTTTAATTAATGTTGATTGTTTTCTTACGGATTTTTGTGTACTTTTGAGATTTGTTTATATAACTAACCCTAAATTATTGCTACAACTTAAAGGTAGTTTACATTATTGCCGCGCTCTCTCGCGATCTCCATGGTCTATAGTATATTAGTAAAACTATGCCCTTTAGTACTAAACACAATAAATATGTCTACGTTGATGCATGTGAAGAAAAACGAATGATTTTTTTCCGTAGACTATAACATTTTCCTTTACAATAAGGAATTGCATGATATTTTTATAAACAATGACAAATATCAAATACAATAAATAACAACTACAAATTCGAATATATGCGGCGGATTAAGTAATTTAGTTGGTGCGGAACAAACATATACGGGAACAATTTAATATCGCCAATGTGATATAATTGTGGTCAAAATGATAGCTAATGAGTTTATATATATTAATTTAACTGGCTTTAACTATTATTTACCAATTACCAGTCAAAATAATATTTTTAAAAGATGTTTAAATTTATTGTATGCAAATATACAATGTAACCTTTTAAAGTTAAGTTAATCAAATATATCAAGTGACGGTCGGTTGCGGTGACAAAGCAAAACTCATTTTCGGTGCAATACACAAATGTGTTGAGCGCAATCACTAAATGTCTATCACAATAAGGGATTTGGATTCAAAGTTCATTTCAGATACTTTTCAATTGGTTTTTGTTTGATTGTTTTTTGGCAAATAATTGGTAGATGTGGAATTATCAGCTACCTATTTTCAGTTACACGTAAGATTGTAATTATTTGAAAAGGAAATGCACTTAGAGATGGATTAATGGGGATTATCAGCTACCTGTTTACATTACTTTCTAAAAGTTATGATAATACCATAAATGTATTTATGAAAATGACCTTGTTTCCATCCTAAACCCCACAGATATACGATATCTGGCAATGGAACTTTCATGTTCAACAAGATATTATATACAGGCCCTCTCTATATATATGTACGAACACTGTACCGCCACTTGTTATATGGAATACGTTTTTAGTGGATTCGTGTAATATATATGTATTAGATGGAGAAACTTAATCACGACAAAAAAAAAAAAGATTAGAGAAACTTAATTATATTATTGTTTCTGTTGATAGAAAAATTGATGAGAAGATTCTTTGAAAAGACAGCGAAGAGAGGCCCATTGGGAGCCAACGATCCAATCACGGAACTTTTTAACTTTCCTTTTTGGCCCTTAACATCTACTCATTTTACACTCCTTTACCTTGCGCTCATTGTTTTATCTTTTTTTTTTTTCTCAATCAAATCCAAACTTTGTTTTCCAATAAATAAAGGTATTTTGCAGAAAGTTAATGAGTTGGATGGTTAGAGAAAACTGAAAGAATTGTCGTGGTTGCATGTATCTATGCTATTTGTAGTGCTTCGAGAAAAGAAAGTAAAACTATTATCCTTGACTACTTCTAGTTGTGATTCTTCACACATGGTTCCGTTAAAACTCCGTTGCTTCAATATTATTCTCGGTCTCGTTAGTTTGTTTTTCTATTGATTTTAATTGTTTGATAATGCGTCAATGTATAGCATCTAAAGGATTTTGTAACTTTGTTTATTTCAACTAGAGCAACATGCAGAGAAGGTCATGTTCTTGCAAATTATAGAGTTTGACTCGAAATTTTGAAAATGAAAGAAAAGAATATTACTATATTAGGATTAGGGCTAATTCCGGTGGGTACGAATGTGTAGAGAAGAGTGAAACCAGCGGCCTTTTTGTCTCTTTCTTCGAATATACACTTATTATTTTCCATATGTTCTCCAAATAAATTTTTGATCTATATAGCCCTAATCCTAATGTAACATTATAACAACAGTTTGTGTAACTCTTATATAGGACTCTTGCGTTTGTGAAACATAGAATTAATATCACAACCTAAGAATGCTTTCTCTATAATCTTACGAACCCATTTTTTAATCAATTCATATATAACTGTAAACAAGATTAGGTTTGACAATTATATTCTAGAGCCACATAGAAAGTCTCCAATATAGATGAATATAAAGCTGATAAAATTTTTTCGGAAACTCTATTTAATTTGATCATTTATATGCATCAATCTTTTCATTTTTGGATGTAAAGAAGGAAAGGAAACGTATAAATGAAAAAAACCGCCTGAAAATGTGAAAAGTCATGATAATACAGAATTGGGTCTGCTTCACTGATTGCATGTCTTTATACCAACTTTAAAGGTCAGAAAACTTTCGGGGGAAAATCAAAGACTCAGGAACTGAGGAAGGTAAGATATGTCACTTTGGTTGGCAACTGAGCAAATGGTTGTCAATTTTTTATATCTAATTATATATCTAGTATTATTCGTTACTATTAGAGTTCTTTTTTTGGATTTTTTGCATGTCTTGTCGATAGAAAATCATTGTCTAGACTTTTGAAGGATGGGTCTCGATCTGTCTTCGGACAGTATGTGACCAGTAAAGAGTTATGAGCAATATTGTTTTTTGAATCTTGATCACGACTTAATTAGTATTTGGTTTAGCTGTTATTCATGACAATGACATATGGAATTTGAAACGTAATAATCAAAATTGAAATTTAGTTCGGTTGGATATCGTTTGGAATTGGCGAAAAAAAAAAAAAAAGGATATCGTTTGGAATTTTAGATATTTCTGTCACAGCGAATAAATCTCTTTCTTATAGAACATTTTTAGTCAATTTGAACGACAAAGAACGTAGCTAAAATTGTTTTACTAGGTTGTTACCTAATTCACGTAGATTCGATCTAACTTCTGCTATATATGTAGTGTTTAAATGTTACTAACTATACATATGAGTGTTATGTTACCTAGTAGTCAGTCACGTTTATTATGTTTTTTCTTTCTTTTTTTCTGTAGTATAGAAGACGTAAACCAAATGAAAATTGTTTCATATTCAATTACTTTTTCTTCGATCGGTTCAAGTGAGTTACCTCCACGCAGCACATTCGTGTGAATGAAAACCTTATAAAATAACTATTTGGTTTTAGTCTATAATCATTATAATTGTATCATGTGTGACTAAATTCTGCTTTTAACTGTTGCATGAAATGTTAGCTTTTTTTTTTCTTTTCTTTTGTACTGTGATATTCTTTTCACAAGAGTTTTTAAACAAGAAGATATAAAACAAAATGGGGCTAGGCTTTATATAGGCACACCAAAGAAGTGTCTATTACTGAAATAGTTATGGACTTATGGGTACTTTACTTTGGTAAAGGTCTACTATAGAGGATTATTGAGAATCACTTGGTGGGCTGGGCTTTCACCATCCAAAACTTGAGACCCAACTAGTCAGTCACCTGCGGCTGAAAATAACCGGTACGTTTCGGATGGAGACAAGAAGTTGTCACGTGATTCAGTTACAAAAACAAAACCGTTGGTTAATCACGTGATAACCGATTAATATGGTTTTTGGTTAGGTTGAAACGGTGTTTGGTGAAGGACAGCGACACAACACAAACGTGCACTTCAAAAGTGTGTGCAGTCTACAGTACAGTACATAACTCTCCATACCTTCTCATCATTCTCTCTAGCTCATTTTCTCTTTTTCACGCACTTATTTGTATGATTTGTATGTTATTCTTATCATTACATAGAAATAAAAGATAAATCATCGAGGACCCATTTGAACTATCTTCCTCCATGTTACTTTTTTTTTGTTTACAGTATAAAAGATCGTAAGGAAAAAAATTGATAGAACGAGAGGGTTTGAATGGATGATAAAAGGCACAAACTACTGCAGAATAGTGCCAATTCATACAAAACAAAACAAGATTTATATGTATGATGAATTTGTGGGTCTTTTCTCTTCATAATTTGTTCTCGGCAAAGTTTGAAGGTACATATATGGTTCATTCTGAGAGTTGGACCACCTAAGTTGCCTTGGCAATATTTGGTGTGCATGAAGATGAATCTGTATAACAAAACATGGAAATAAAAAGAAAAACAAATCCATAAATCAAAGATACTATCTATTTTTCTTTAACCAGGTAAAGTTGTTCGTTGTCCAAATTGGTTCGTATTTATTTAATTTATAAACAAAATTTTCATAAATAAAGTGTTGAATTATAAACGACACTAAGAAGGATGGTTCGGACATG